AAGCTACCGTAATTATTTAAACTTCCCAAAACAAGTTTTCCAAAGGGGGACATGTATTGCTTACGTCATTAGAAAGGTTCTTTTTTTTTTTTTTTTTTTTTTTTTTTTTTTTCAATCGAACAGCGATGTCCGCATTTAAGTTAAACGGGAAGGAGATGGGAGGGGGGGAAATATTAATTACAATAATTATATTTGATTCAACCGGAGAGAATGATCGTTAAAATCAATAATTTACGATAAATATTTTCACGTGTGAAATTCAAAAGGAAATTTTCAAAAAAAAAAAAATGGCGGATGAAAATATCATGTGTGAATAAACTTTAACCTTTCTTTTCTTCCCATCTTCGAGTCCAGTTGTAATTAAACGTTTTTTCTTTTTTTTTTTTTTGTTCAAACGTGTTTTTAAACAATTTAAATATTTTTTTTAAATTCTTGAATATTATTAACATTGAAAATAAAAGAAATGAAGAAAAAAAACTAGAATTGTTGTTTTAAGTTCAGAAAAGACAATGAAAAATTGTTTTCTATGTTTTTCTTTCTTTTCTTTTTTTCTTTTTTATTTTAATTATAAAAAAAAAAACTTCCGGTTTGGTTTTCACATGCAGCAAAGGGGACGTATGTAGAAAAAAAACGAATTTTCCTTTTGTTCAGCCCGTGTTTATTTTAATGATTCGGATTTTTGTGGAAATAAAAAGGAAGGAAGGGGAAAAAAAACAATAATCGATTTAATGTTCTTATTATTATTATTGTAATAATTTAATAATAATGTTAGTTAGTAATAATGATAATAATAATGATAGCGAAAAACGGATGAAGAAGAAGTAAAAAAAAATTTTTTTTTGATCTTTTTTTTTCGCTCAAAACTCTCGCGTTCTCGTTTTCTCTCTTTCTCTCTCTCTTTTTTTTTATTGCTCTTATAATAATAATTATTTTATTATTATTATTATTAATATTTTTTGTTTTTGTTTTTCACGCAGAAAGAGGTCACAAAAAAAAGGAATTGAAAAAGAAAAACAGGCATTTGAAAATAATACTTTTACTCATGTTATTTAAAAACAAAGTGAAAATGTTTTTGAGTAAATTACAATTTCTCGTACAGTTGAAATTTTTAGCCGTTACGACGATCAACATGCTAATAAATCTATTCAGGTAAATAAATTAAATAATAATAAGAATGAAAAAAAAAATTATAGTTGGTAATATTATTATTATTATTATTATTATTATTTTTGTTTAAAGGTTGTGGATAGAATTGAAGAAAAAACATAAACCTAATAAAGTCGTGTTTTATGAAAATGCTCATCACCAGCATCACTACGATCACGAACACGTTATCGATCACGATGATGGCGGGAGTTACAGGCATCCGGCAAGTTATCCGTAAGTTTCAAAACAAAATGTCTGCCATTTTTTTTTTAACTTTTTTTTTAAAAATAATGTTTAATCTTAAAGGAAAAGGTGTTGGTTGGTTTCTATATAAAATATTATTATTTAATCCTTTTGAATTTCCCAGGTTTCCCTTCCACTTCCCTCCCCCCACGCCCCACGGCCCCCGGGTTTTAGTCTCTGCCGTAATTTTTTTTTTTTTTTTTTCATTTTACAAGTAATATTGTCGTGGCAATAAGTAATTGTCGCAATAAAAGTTCAAGCGGACCTCCTCTTTTATCCTCCTCCCTCCTCCTTCCCGCCTCCTTCCGAAAAAGAAAAAAACGAGACGTAAAAATTTTTACTTTAACTTTAACCTCCTCCAGGTTATATAACCCATTTCGCCTTACACGTTTTCCCCCGCCTCCTTCCCTTTTCGCCTTTGGCTTAAAAATTTTTTCTTTTGTGTGTCAAACATCCTGGGAAGGGGAGGGAAGGGAAGGGAAACCTGGAAAATTTTGTGTGTAGGCTTTTTGAATTTTTTTTTTTTACCATAAGAATTTTTTCATCCCACGGCAACGCACACGAATAAGAAGAAAATTTAAATAACGAATTCATCATCATTATTATGCGTCGGCCATATTTGTGATCTATTTAAAAAAAAAAAAAAAAAGAAGACATAATAAAATTTTTTTTTAATCTTCTTTTTTTTTTTTAATGATAATAATAATAATAAAATTCGAGTTTGTTTCTATAATAATCAAAAAAAAAAAAAAAACCTGTGAGAATTTTTTTGAATACAGGTATGAGATTATAACGAATACCAGAAAGGTAACTTCCGGTTTAAAAAAAACTCGTTTGTATCGGCTTAAAAAAAAATTATTATTATTATTAATATAATAATAATTATTATTATTATTATTCGTTTCAGGCATTTTCATCATGGTGACGACGACGAAGAGAGTAGCGGACCCTGGCCCTGGTCCAGGTCTTACAATGAAAATGCCGACGAATTTAAAAGTTCGAGTCCTTATCAGTACAGGCCGTCCGGATATAGAGTCGCTTATTATCAAAAGAGAAATTTAAGATAAGTGAGAGAGAGAGAGAGAGAGATAGAGAGAGTGAGAGAATAAGAGAGTGAGTGAGAGAGAGAGAGGAAAAAAAAGCAAAACACCGTTTAACGCCTCGTCGCGTTTTATTTAATTATTATTTTATTTATTTTACAAAAAAAAAAAAAAAACAAATAGGAAGGTTTTGCTCAAAGACAATCAATCAATCAATCGATCGATCGATCGATCGATCAATCGATAGTTAGCATAATAATTCTAAGTCAAAAAAGAAAAAAAAAGTTATTAATTAATAAAAATTTATTTATTTATTGTTTTTTATAAATAATAATAAGAGAAAACAAATCGTGAGAATGACTTATTATTATTATTATTATTATTATTATAAATATTTTCTCGAGTGCCTTCAAAACTAAAAAAAAAACTCAATTATCATTATTTATTTATTTATTTATTTATTTATCTATTATGGGAAAAAAAACTTAATAAGTAATTAATTAATAATTTTTTATTAATTAATTTTTTTTTTTTCAATTTAACAAAAATGAAAAAGAGTCACAGTATTGTTATTTTATTGTAGTAATAATTTATTAATTAATACGTAAGACTTTAATTATTTAATTATTTATTTATTAATTTATTTATTTAAATAGCAACAAACAAAAACAAACCATTTTTATTTATTGTTTAATTTATTAAATAAAAATATATATATATATATGTATATGTATTTTGTTAATAATTTTTTTTTGTCGTTTGAAAAACAATTGGTTGATTGGTTGTAAATGGAATTATTTAGTCAACTCACACTTTTATCAAAACAAAGGAAACGCGAAAAAGGAAACGGAAACGGAAAAAAGGAAAGAGAAAAAAAAAAAATTTTTTTTAGTTTTTAAAATTATTTTTTTCCAAAACATGAAACGGCATTGAACGCGCATTGTTTCCAGTAACTTCTTTTCCTCTGTTGTTCGGCATCCCAATCGTATAGATTTTGTTGACGATTTAATATTTCGTTTGTTAATAAATATTTGAAAATTTGTAAATCTCTCGGACGATCATCAACAAGGCTGTTCCTGCTACCGAACTAAAAATCACAATAATAATAATAATAAGAAACCATCCAGGAAATCGCACTATGTGGGACGGCCCACATTCTTCGGAAAATTTTAGCACAACCGAAATTCGTGCATTTGTCCCTAAGGAACCGTCGGTAGAAACCTGGGATGAATGCTTAAAAATCCCGACAAATAAGTCCCTTGTCGTGTTTAAGAGTGACCATAATAATAATAATAATAATAATATTTAATCACAAAGAAAATAATTTTTCAGGTTGGAAAGTGGGTGTGGTTAATAAAATTGACAAAAGTAAAATAAAAACGAATGATTGATATGATTGTTGTTGTTGTTGTCGGTTGTCTTCGGTTGTCGTCGGTTGTCGGTTGTCGGTTGTCGTTATAAACTTTTGTAAATATTTTTTATTTAAATTATTTACTTTAAAACAAATTTTTATTTAAAACTTTTTTTTTGACGTTTAATAAAAAAAAAAAAAAAAATTGGTTTAGTTCGTAAACATTGTTGTGGGAAACTATAAATTTATGTTATTTATTATGTATTTTATGTTTTTTTTTACATACATACATACATAAATAAATAAATAAAAACGTTATTTACTTTATATATATATATATTATGTGACGGATTACTTTTTTTTACGAGTTTCGGTTTTTTTTTTTTATGATAAATTGAAACTTAAAATTTAAATTTGTCAGTCAGACGTGTAATATAAAATATTACGATGATGATGATGATGATGTGATATAGGTATAAAATAGTAATAATAATAATAATAATAATAATATCATTTTTATATATTTTTATGTCTCATTCACTCACCTCGAGTTGATTTTTCGGATAAATTGATTCTTGTTCTGATGATGACGTATCGATGGTTTTACCCTTTGATCCACCGACAGCAAGTGCCAACAAAACAGCAACAATCAATATTTTAAATCTCGTACAAACGATTTGTTGATTCATTTCAATTAAAAAACCTACATAAAAAAAAAATTTATTATTATCATTATTCTCGCGTTATATATATATGAATTTTCTTAACCGATCGAAATTTGTTTTCGACACAATTGATGACGTCAAAAAAAAAAAATCGGAAAACTCAATTGAATTTAAACAACAAACACGTCGGTCGGATCACGGGTATTTTTTTTTTTTTTTTTAACAAAGCGGAAAAATTAATAATAAATAAATAAATTAATAAATTCGACGTGTCTTGTAATAATAATAATAATGATAATGATAATTTAACACACGGGTTAAAATTTTTTTCAAACGTTTTTTGTAAAAAAAAAAAAAAAATGGGGGGAAATTTTTTTTTTTTGGGTTCATAACGTAAACCTTTGGATGATGGAAAAAATTATTATTATTATTATTATTATTATTATTATTTTGTTTGAGTTGGTTCGAGGTTAAATAAAAAAAAAATAAAGGAAGGTGTTATTTATTTTGTTTTATTGCTTTAAGGGAAAATCGTTTTAATATTGAAAAACGTTTTTTTTAAATCATTTTTTCTTGTTTTTTAAACAAAAAAGTCAATTTTTAAAAATTTACATAAAATTATTATTATTATTATACTTTGTGTGTGTGAGTGCGTGTGCGTGTGCAAAAGCAAAAATAAAAATTTAAATTTTTACAAAATTTGAAAAAAGAAAAAAAAATTAGTTTTGATGTGAGTGAAAATGAGAAAATTTTTTCTGGAACGTTCGCAAAACGAAAAATTCGGGGGGGGGAGGGGAGGAGGAGAAAATAGTCACTGATTAAAATTTTTAATGTTATAAATTATTAATTAATTATTACCTAATTAAAAAAATTAAATATAAATTGACGTTAATTACACAGACCACAACCCTTTTTTTTCATTTTTAATTATTTTTATTACCAGTTGTGAACATAACTAACGATAAACTAAACAAATTATTATTATTATTTTTATTACCTTTTTTCTTTTTTTTTAATATACTTTTTACCGAAGGAAATTTTTTTTTAAATTTTTTTTTTCCTTTTTTTTTTTAACAAAAAAAAAAAAATTCCCGCGGGAAAAATTTTTTTTTAATTTTTTCTTGAGGTATTAAAAAAAACCCGGTTTTTTTTTTTTTTTTTTTTTTTTTTTTTTAATAGCCGACACGAGAAATAAATTACTTTAATAAATTATTTTAATAACATTAACGTTAAATTATTTAACACAATTATTTAATAATTAATTTTATAATAATAATGATAATAATGATAATGATAATGATGAAAAACGATGACGTAACGTAATTTTTTCGGTCTTTCAAATAAATTTTTTTTTTTTAGAATATTAAAAAAAAAATAATAATAATATTTAATTGATTAATCAATTACGAGTAATAAAATTAATAATAATAATAATAATAATAATAATAAATTCACAAAAAAAATATTTTAAAACAATTAATTTAAACGGTATTACTTACTTTTAAAAATTTTCACACGGAATTTTTTTATTTTTTATTTTATTTAAATAATAATAATAATAATAATAATAATAATAATAATAATATGCGAAAATATATTTAAACGTTACTATTATTATTATTAACACTTTTTTTTTTTTTTTAGATTTTAAAAGGTTATAAAGTAAGAAAAAAAAACAAACGAGTTTTGATGAGTTTTTCTTTTTTCACAACCAATATATATACATGTATGGGGGATCCGGTAAAAACTTTAAATTTTAACGTTACATGCGCTTTTCAAACTTGACGGCGATGGGAATGAAAAAGTTTTTCCCCCCACTTTTATTATTATTATTATTATTATTATTATTATTATTATTATTATTTTTCCAACGTTTTTATATTTTATTATTAAAAAATATCTAAAATTTCACTCTTATTTAAACCGAATAAATAAATAAATAAATATTATTTGACAATAATAAAAATTTAATGTTATTTTTTTTTTGGAGGGGGGTAATAAAATTGTAAAATTTGCAATTTGAAATTTTTTTCCACGATATTTATCATCATTATCATCATCATCATCATCATCATCATCATCATCATCATCGTAATCATCTTCTCAATATTATTATTATTATTATTTTTTACATTTTGAAAAATAATACGGGATTTGAAAAATTTTTTCGTCGGTAATTAAAAAATTTTTTAAAAAAATATTTTGTTTCAATATTTATTATTATTATTATTATTATTATTATTATTATTATTATTATTATTATTATTATTATTATTATTATTATTATTATTATTATTTTATTACCTCTTGTTTTTTTTTTTTAAATAATTTACTCGAGATATTTTTTTTATTTTATAATTAATTATGTTTGTTCGGTTGTCGGTCGGATAAAAATTTTTTTTTTATTTTTATTTCTCATGATCCCCCCCCTGTTCCCGTCTCCTCCCCCGCCCCCCGTCATTTAAAAAGTAAAAAAAAAGGCTCTAAAAAATAAAATAAAAAAAATTTTATACCCC